GAGGTTGGTTGGGGAGATTAAGGCGAGTGGGGCGGGGAAAGTGGAGATGGAGTGGGGGATGAGGAGCAGGAAGACGCAGCAGGTTTTGAATGCTGTCAAGGAGTCGATTGAGAAAGGGTTTGTGCCCGTTCAGATTGCCTGAGGCTGCAGATTGGTAATTAGCACTTTTTGGATGGCTTTGGTTAAAGTGGAACAGATTCTATTATAGGATAGCAGAGTGGCTTTGGTTAATAATTCTTATTTTTACCAATCTATTGGGCTATCAGCCTGTCACCTTGGTATAGAAAATTTATTCCAAGGCTGAACATGAAATCTGAAGTCGATTTTCAAGTGATTGGAATAAATCTTATCTGAACTTTGTGATTAATGCTGAAAGTTCTAGCAACACTTACATCTATTAGCGTATGAAATTTTGTGGGTTCGAGAAACTTTTTTTTTTTTTTAATGCTTGGGACAAGATATTGTCCGCTTTGATTTTAGACCCTCGCGATTTTGGACTTGTGGTGTATATCAAAGGAACTTTCATATCGATCGTCCATCCTTGCAGTGCTCCACAATGATCATGTTTAACGTCACGATATATCAAAATAACCTTTTCATTTCACCCCAAAATGTGTCTTGTCAGTTAAGGTCGGTTTCTTACTTACGAAACATGAATCTCTCCCATGCTTTGTTAATATGTGATTCGCCTAAGGTGTCACAATTTTCCTCATAAAACCAACAGGTAAATTGCACGGTTGGTCACTGAAATATTTAAAAAAAAGTTCACGTTTGGTCACTAAAAATACTTCTATTCATGGTCACTAGGACTAGTTAAACATTCCAAGTTTGGCCACTCTCCGCTTCTCTCCGTCAACCTGCGTTAACACCGTCAATTTTTTGCTGACATGGCTAACATAAGTGCCTAATCGACCAATTTGAACCAAAAAAATTTGAAAATCCGACCCACCACGTGATTAAACCCAACCCAACCCTTCATCTTCCTCCACTTCTTTCCGGCGGCGGTAGGAAGTCCAAGCAACCTTCAATGTAGTCCTAGAACCAAGAACAACTGCCACATAGAAGAAGAAGGGAAAACAAGATTAGAGAGAGTATTGAACCCATTAATCCTAACCAGTAAACAAAATTGACGAAATTAGAGGGAAAAGGAGTTGAGTTGCGTAGGGGAAAGCATACCATCCATTGATGGCTTGGTCTTGGGCGTCATTCTTGCCTCTAAATCCCTTTCTATCGATTGGCCTGCTGAAGGCTCTCTCTCTCTCTCTATATATATATATATATACTTTTCGTTTGGGAATGGGCTAAGAAATTGGGGGAAGGGCGGGAACAGGCGTCACTTGTACTCCTCTCCCTTCAAGCGGCGGCCCCCTGGTAATTGAACAAGATTAAAGTACCAACCAAACACAAAACCTTCATATTGCGACCCCTTCCCCAAAGTTGATCCCCCCCACCCTCCGAGTAACCTGCTGGGGCGAAATCCTTTGTCGAAAATGGTGGAGAGGGTTTAGGGAGGGAGAAGGAAGTAGTGGAGTGCAGTGGGAGAAGCAACTCTGCTCTCTCTTCGCCTGTGCCATAGCTTCTGGTGGCAGCCCGTCCTTGCTGCGGCTCTCTTTGTTTGACGGAGGATGAGGAGAATGGGTTGAAGTCATGTAAACGATGAGGAGAATGGGTTGAAGTCATGTAAACGGGGAAGGGAAAGAAGAAGCAAGTCGAGGAAAAAAGGTTGGATTGGGTTAGGTTGGGTTTGATGAGGAGGCATGTTTTATGACATGGTGAGTTAGCTTTTATGACGTCAAGGGTTAAAATTGAGGTGTATTACCGTTTATGTTAGCCACATCATAAAAAATATGATGGTGTTTATGGGGCTGAGGAGACTAACAGAGAGTGACCAAACTTGGGATGTTTAACTAATCCTAGTGACCATGAATATAATTAAGTATTTTAAGTGACCAAATGTGAAATGGTTTAATAATCCCAGTGACCAACCTTGTAATTTATCCTAAAACCAACTAAAAACGCACAATTTGAGTGATCTCTAATTGGGATATGTTACGGTGACTTTGTAAAACCTTCAAGTTAGGGTAACTTAGTGTATCCTCCCATAGTGACGGGTTGGTCGACAAGTTTTGAAGGTGGGACTGGGGTCACGAACTGGACTGGGAGGTGAAGGAGGCTACCAATTAGAGGAGGGAAATGCATGAGATTTCATATACTATCATCCAGACAATATCTGGGCAAGGATACAATGGAAATAGATGCCCCGACGGTAATGGCATCGACAGGTATGACGGTTATAACCCAACTTATGATGCTGATGATGATCTAATGTTTAGGGTCAACCCTCCAACCATTCAGGCGGTTGAGATGGTAAAAAGGATGAATGATTGTGGTTGTGGTCAAAAGGATGCATGATTGTGGCTGTATGTTGCACACAGGCGGTTCCATAACCATGCAACATGGAGGAGAGGAAGGCACATGTGACATCGTTCAATCTGGAGGACAATCTGTTGCAGTGGTGAGAATGGGTGGAGAGATCATATGAAGAATAAGAAGAAGGGATACTCATCACTTGAATGAGATTCAAGGAAGAGCTGAATTTCCAGTTCGATAGAGTTGCGTGATGGCATGGGGAGAGCTAGCCATGCAGTGATGGAGTAAGACACTTTCCGAGTACGTGACAGAGTTCCTGAAGCTGGAAAATATATGCAAGGATATGATGAAAGAGAATCTGGTTGGACTATGCATGGCGGGAATGAGGGTGAAGTTAGTGACATCAGTGAAGGTATTTGAGCATGATTCTTTGCGAGTGGTTTTCAGCTTTGCATGTCATAAGGAAGAGGAACTGCCAAGTTGGAAGGGAGGTGCATGGTACTTCCAGAAGGCGGAAGGAAGTACTTCTGGAGGAATTTTTGTTAGAGGAGGCATCATGCTAGAAGCGATATAAAAAGCTGGGGCGGCAACACATGCCACAAGAGTAGTACCGATGGCTTCTCGATCTGCAAAGTATACAAATCAATATTGCAAAGCATACAAAGTTAGAAACCAAATGACAAAAAAGAATACTGACAGTACTAACTATACAAATAAGTAATACAAAGTATACAAGCAAAATCATAAGTGTATAAAAATCTCATAATTAAAGCATAAATATTAGATAACATTGTATACAAAACATAATACCAATACAAAGTACAAAGTACAAATGCTTACTAAACACAAATTATACAAGAAAAATCATAAAAGTATAAAAATCTCATAATAAAAGCATTCAAATTAGATAACATTGTATACAAAACATAATACCAATAGAAAATACAAATGCTTACTAAAAAAAACCAATAACACGAAATATACTAACACGACTAGCTATTAAAATATACAAACCGCATTACAAAACTATACAAATCAGACTAATATTATATATAAATAATACTAACAATACAAATTGACAAGTCTTTCATTACAAACACACTGCTTTCTCTCTCTACTCGCCAACAATAAATCTTAATCTCGTTGTTGACTCTCTCTCCCTCTCTAGAAAATTCCCAGAAAAGCATCATGGGAGAGTAGTGGCGGAGCCAGAAATCTAAACGAGGGGGCTACAAAATATCAGTTCAATAAATTACAACCGGAGAGAGCACTAAAGGCTTACAGCCTACTCTATTTTCTCAGTTTGTTACGAAATTTACACAATTTTGAGAGTTGAGAGAGGACTATAGCCTATAGCCCCTCCGCAGAGTACCAGAAAAGCACCGTAGGAAGGGCCGCCTGTTGGGTGGAGTCCACCTTTCTTTATTATTATCTTAATTAATAAATAATATTATTGGTATCTTACACTTCACTAAATGAAAATAATTAAAATCATTGGATCAAAATTTAAAATGAATAGCTGGATTTGATTGATTCATGTGACTAAGTGAACCATAACATCTGATCTCATCCCATAGAGCCGCCCCTAACGTGAGATACAACTTTGATTGCTCCTATACTACTATTAAACCATGCATATGGTTGTGTTAGTTTAGTCGCAACAAAAGAGGGACAGCAACTCTGGATCTAAGTTTACAATTTAGTATAGTCTCCACTGTTGGCGCTACCCATAAATTGGAGTCTAAGACTCTCTCTCTCTCTCTCTCTCTCTCTCTCTCTCTCTCTCTCTCTCTCTCTCTCTCTCTCTCTCTCTCTCTCTCTGTTGATTACAGGTGTTATCTTTTGTATTTTTGTCTCACTTATTGGAATGGTAGTATTTGATTGGTGCTTGTTATAAGAATCGAAGCGGATCAACGGCTAGGCTAGTGGAACCGTCAAACCAGTTACGATAGCGGTTAGGTTCATTGCTTGGACGATTATTGGTGGATCAAATGGTTTTTCACGGTTCAACATAAAACCAGATGAACCACCACGGTTTAACTAGTCCACTGGTTCACCATTTTAACCACAATGTTTTTTAGAAAATACTTTAACATAAACTAAGACAGTCAAACCGTCATTATTAATTTTATAACTACTTCCTCTTCTCATTTTCTAACTTTGTTGTCGACTTTCTGTGGTCCACTACCGACTGGCATCTTTGTTTTTAATTAGAATTGGAAAAAAAATATGATTTCTTTTGCGAAACGGTTTGAATGATTTATTAGATATTTGAGTGATGATATGAAATTGTTTATGGTAAATGATAACTTTATTCTTAAATTAGTGTAATGCAATTCTTGTATGTTATATATCGTGAAAAGTTCTATAACGGTTAACCGACTGTTTTGTAATGATTAACCACTTAACCCTAAATCACTAACTTTTTTGGTTCAGCCTCCGATCTGGTTCCGAAAACAAAGGCTAATGTTGCCGGCCCTAACGAAAACGGAATCCACAGACAGGACCACATCCATATTATATTTCTCCATTACAGCTTTTTCCTGCGCAGAAAGCGAAATCAAAATTAACTCTTTGCAAGCTACTCTCCGACTTCAATATATATATTTCCCCCCTCCCCTGTCTCCTTCGACACCAAACCTCCAGAGCTCCATCAATCAATCATGTCGTCGGAACCCAAAATCCGTTTCGGCATAATGGGCTGCGCCGACATAGCCAAGAAGGTCTCCCGCGCAATCAGTCTGGCACCCAACGCCGAGCTCTCCGCCGTCGCCAGCCGGACTCTGGAAAAGGCCACCGCATTCGCCGCAGCCAACAACTTCCCTCCCGACGCCAAGGTTTACGGCTCCTACGAGGCCCTCCTCGACGACCCAGAAATCGACGCCGTCTACATCCCATTACCCACAACCCTCCACCTCAAATGGGCCTCCTTGGCCGCGCAGAAGAAGAAGCACGTCCTCCTCGAGAAGCCCGTCGCCGTCTCCGTCCCCGAATTGGACCAGATTCTCGCAGCCTGCGAAGCCAACGGCGTCCAGTTCATGGACGGAACCATGTGGCTCCACCATCCCCGCACCGCCAAGATGAAGGAATTCCTCACGTCCGAAGACGGGTTCGGGGAACTCAGAACAGTGAGTGAGGCCGGCTTTTCCTAGACTTACAAACTGTTCGACGAAATTCCCCTGAGAGAGTAGTTGCTTGCTCTGTTTTCATTTTTTTTTTTTCTTTTTCTTCCCTCCAGGTACACAGCTGCCTTAGTTTTCCCGCCGACGAGTGGTTGCACAAGGACAACATACGTCTGAATCCCGATCTCGATTCTCTTGGCGCGCTCGGCGATGTGGGCTGGTACTGCGCATATTCCATACTCTGGGCAGCCGACTACGAGCTGCCAAAGACCGTGATCGCGACGCCGGGAGCTGTTATCAGCGAGGCCGGAGTGATCTTAGCTTGTGGAGCATCTCTGCGGTGGGAAGATGGAAAGTCGGCGACTTTCCATTGCTCTTTTTTGGCCAAGATGGAGTCGAGCATAACTGCGGTCGGGACAAAGGGGCCGACGTTGGAGGTCAACGATTATGTGATTCCCATTGCGGAGAAGGAGGCTTCTTTCGTCGCGTCTTCGAGCCAGCACGTTGTACCGACGGATATTCCGCAGGAGGCTTGCTTGATCCGAGAGCTGTCTCGTTTGGTTGGGGAGATAAAGGTTAATGGCGGGAAGCCTGATCTGACTTGGGCGTCTCGCAGCAGGAAGACGCAGCGGGTTTTGGATGCGGTGAAGGAGTCGATTGACAACGGGTTTCAGCCTGTCGAGATTGGAAACTAATTTGAATTTTTCAGGGAGAGAGATTATGTGCCCTTGTATTTGGGATTAGATTTGTAAAACCAACTGTCTTTGGATTCTTTCTTCCAATCATTGTAAAACCGTACCGGAAGTTATACAAGAAATCTTCCTTTCAATGATTGTAAAATTGTACCTGAAGTTATATTGGAAGAGTTAATGATATGGTATTTTGTATTTATACCGAGACTCAATTACTTTGTACCCACTAAAATCACTGAAACACATACCATTTAGATTCGATGTCTGATAGTTCCGGTACGATCCAACGGTACGATTTCTAAAACATTGCTTCCTCTATTGTGCATCCCCCTTGCAAGCATTATCATTGCAGACTGTTTAAAAGCAAGACCGAATTTGTCAAGGTATAACTTCCATAGACTTTCGTCTGCTGCTGATGAAATCTAAAGGACAACTCGTAAAGGCCAGAATAAAAGAAGAATGTTGCCTGAAACTCTCACTTTAACACAACTTTATAATCTCACGAAACAATGAGATCTTTACCAATGATCAGAACTACGAATCGAATTGAAACTCGGACTATTTTCCTTTTGTTGTTATTGTTGGAAGAAACTCAAAACCATTTGATACAATGAAGGTTACAAGACGGCCAAATTCTTTGTTTACAAACACAAAAAGCAAGCACAACAAAACACCTAAGATTGTTTGCATCCAAGGTGACCTCGCCCGCCACAGTCCGAGCACATGATGTTGCCTGTTCCACCACAACCTGATCAAAACAAAAAAAAATGTAAAACAATATTACTTGAAGGAATTTGTACAAGTACAGGACTTGACGCAACGATTCGGGTTTTTGCACAAAGTTTGCTAGCATACAGCAACAACATCCCCCTTATGGCCTAAGATGAGACGTGCATGTGCAAGAACATAACACTGATCCATCTTTCCTGGAGTAAATGCACATAGTTACCTAACCAGAACACCAAGAAAATTGAGAATGGTGCATTCAATTCAAAAGCATTCTAACTTCTGCGGCGACAGCAGCTACCTATGGAACTAAGCAGCAAATTTAAATTCCATTCACCAGCTGCAAATGCTCTCAGAACAACTTTGACCTAGCTTCTTACTTCTACGTACCTAATCAACCACAGATGCTCTCTTGCTAGTACCAAATTAGAAACTATAAGGCGAACGAGAGCCACCGACAACACAAAAGAATCAATTAATGTTTTCACCACCATCAACTTCCCAATTCACTAGTCCAAGCCATCTAACAAATGTTCTACTTTGTTATTCAAGAAACAAAATGCAAAAAGTTTCTACATTCTCAACCAGGCAGATGAACTTGTCCCCAAAATCATTAAAACTGTAAGTGGAATGCTAGTTGGGGATAATGAATCGTCACCATCTATAGCTTGATGGCTCAAATTCGTGCTTCCATAAACATTGAAGCGACTACAAAACTACAGCAAGTAGATTGTAATTCACCCACCTGCAGACCCTAGAATCTATAGCCTCCTTTCCAGTACTTTCAAGATCCGTAAACGAGAAAAGGCTGTTTTCTTATACGAACCCCTTTAAACTACCAACTAACGAAGTACAGGAAAAAAGAGGAAATGAGGAATGAATGATAAGTTACCAAGGCAGCGGACTTTAACAATGATCCCTTGGCTCTCCATAATGGAGTCCACATATAAGCCGGAACCCGAGCAGGTGCTACACAGGACGGCACCTTTGGCTTCACAATCAGCACATCTGATATTCTCTCCGATTGCCTTCTCCACTAAAGCCACGCCGACGGGTGTCTCTATTCTCTCCTCTGGTATGGGCTTGTCGTAGCAGAATAGAGACTCCAAACTGCTTATGCGCTTGTGAGCATTCTTCACTAACCTCGAATCTTCCTGGGGAAAACCCAAAATTTCAAATTTGAGATTCTAGAACTTCGATTAGAAATGGGAAACGCGCAGCAACGGGGAACTTACGCCTTGGGAACCGGAGGAAGAAACAGAGCCATTAGGGACGGCGGCCGTAATTTTTGGGGCGAACCCACAACGGTGCGATCGGAACCCATGACCGAAACTGATTCTGGTTGTAGAAGTTCGATTGCAAATTGGCGAGAGACGGACTGAGAAAACGTTGCAAGTGCCGATTGTGGCTGAAGAATCCATCTTCGAAACCCCAGATGGAGATGAGGATATGAAACTAACGCTGCGAATTCTGCAATACCCGGACGGCGAAATTTCAGATAACCCTTGAATCGAAGAGAACGAAGGAAGAGGGCGGCGGACGGTCTGATGTTGCTGTTCTGTAGAAAGCGATAGAGAGAGCGGAGAAGCTGAGAAGATCTTTGGAGAAATCGAAACTTCAGGTTTTGGAGGAAATTGGGAGCTTTCGCATTTTCTTTTGCGGTTTCGTTGTTAACGATGAAAAGGTCAAGCGACGGAGTGACATAACACCGTTAGAGTGGTTGGTACTTGGTGGCGGGTCGACCCGTTTTCACGTTGTCTGGATTTTTTTTCGGAAACTGGGCGTAGAGGAAGGTTGTGATTTGTGAATATGGGAACAGATAATGTAATTAACTTTATGGTGAGTAATCATGATTAATCCGTTCATATTAGCATGACATATTATACTTCTTCTGGAAAGTTTTTAATTTTCCTCTTCTAGTCTCATTAATCTTTAATAGACGATTTATTACTCGTTTTAAGTCGAAATTTAATTATTATTTTTTTTGCACAGTTAGATCAGATTAATTGTGTTCTTCGAAATGATATTCACTTTGATATATTTTTCGAACAAAAAAATTGAGTCATTTTTTACCAGTCTATACCATATGGTATTGACTGGTAATGAAATAAGAGCATACCTATGGTTTGAAAAGCGTACCATGGTGGTATGAACAAACCAAGATTGTAGGATGATTCAATACATGATAGTAGAAGTATATTAACTGTCATTTACGACTTTTAAAATTGTGTACCACAAGATACCACCCCGTACCAGGGTGGTATTGTATGATATTTGTTGGTCCTTTAATTTGTTCACCCAGAAATTTGTAGATCCAATAGATCACGATGAACTCATTCATTCTGTGCAAACGTTTTCAAAAACGAATTAAAAACAAAGAAGATACCATATGGTATGCAGTTGGTACCGAGAGGCAAGAATTTTTTTTCTCAACAAATATTGAAAATGTATCTCATTTTGTAGAGCACAACGAACTCATTCCATCTGTGCAAAAAAAAAAAAAATTAAAATCTGAGTTAAACGAATAAGACATGAGTCGATGAAGAAAGTTAGGAAAAATAAAAATGCTCTTTAATTCTCCATCCTTAGATCTGGATTTTCTAAATGAAGGGTCCAGATTTAGTTATTGATGAGTGCATAACCATAGCCGTGAATATGATGACAATTTCGACCTGGCCCATTTTATCCGGCTTGTTTGGTCTATTTTGAGGTGGATCTAACCCGCCGTGTAGGCGGGGCGAGGCGGGCATGGGTACTCTCATCGACCCGACTTGCCCTAACCCGCCTCATTCTCGACCCGTTTTTGTCTAAATTACAAGTAATTTTAGTCAAATTACTTGGGTTTTTTTATTACATCATAATTTAACTATAATAAAGTTATAAATTAGTGAAAATCTCAATTCTCTAATAATTTAACTACTTTTATCAAAATATTATTTGTTTTCTTGGTCTTATAATAAAATAACGAATATTTTTAATATTTTTTATATAAATTGCATACCCATTGGGTCGCTATGATAAAAGATAATTATACATCACAAACTTAGATCTAAACTTATATATGATCTCATACTATTTTATCGTTTCTTGAAAAAAGAACCTTTGTGAGAAAATATATAACTAATGGTTTTAATATTTGAAATTCTAGTATCTAGATGTACATTGTGATCTACATTTGAACACTCTAAGAGAACTAAAAGAAGAATTGAGTAATAAAATAATAATTAATTTAAAAATCATTGATAATTATTTTTGTAAACTTGCTCACCATTATCAATTTCATTGATAATTATATTCATAAACTTCCTCACAATTATATTTCTCACCAAACTATAATTGAAAATTATTTGATTTGTTTAGTTAACTTAGTAAGAATGAGTTAATTAGAAAAATAACACATAAGAATTTGTCTCAAACACTTAATTTTACAATTAAATTAAATTAAAAATTAAATTATATATACACACGCACGAACATCGAACAAAATATAAAAAACCATATTCCTAACTAATAACATAATAATTAGTTTAAAAAAATTTCCAACGAATTTTTTTTCATTAGTATAATTAACAATGTGTTCTGTTGGGATTTTTATTTAGTGCTCATATGCTTATTGGATTTGAAAATGAAGATTTTGAGTTTTAAAAACATTTTGATTTACGATGGATGTGTTGTATTTTGTTTTTGAAAGATAACTTTATTTGTTTAGTTGATTTTGATCATGTATTTAGAGGTTTTTGTACCATGGCTCACAAATCCTTGCCTTCAATGACCAAATACCAAAGGAATATGGTATTTTTAAATATGTGGGGTCCACAGATTTAGAGCTAATAAAAGGTCCAAATCTGCGTATCCCACGGATTTGTATATCTCAATAAACTATTTTTGCCTGGAAAATACACAATGCTTGGGATTTGGATGCCAAATACATCACCCAAATCCCACAAGCAAACGATACCTAAAAGACAAATATGTCATTCCTAAATTTACCCAGAAGTCTGAAAATTTAGAATTAACCATCTTCTAATGGAGAATCTCACTAAACAAATTTACTCGGTCCAAGCCCCACATTAACCATGTCACTTCAAGGAATCGCCCGGGGTTGTGAACCCTAAGCCATTCCTTCATTTGGATACGAAATATCTAGTCATAATAGTATCAAACAATTAATGTCCATAAAAAGCCACCAGGTTCCTCGCCTTCCAAATCCACCACACCAAACAAATGATTCGAACCCCCTAGTGAGGCAACAAATCCTGCTCAAGTAGACGACGGAAAAGTAGCAAAATTGTCATGGGGAAGTCCAAGAATCTCACTGTCCAACCCAGCAGCACCCCACAATGCTCTAGCTGCTGTCACCTCAAAAAGAGATGCTCTATGGATTCCTCATTTGCCCAACAAACTAGATACCAAGGAAAAATCAACACCTCTCTCTTGCTAAGTCTCTATCGTATAGAATATGTTGAAATAGCTCCCATGAAAAAACTTAAGTTTCGGCTGAATCAGAAAATCGCAAACTTGTATTCACAATCGCCAGTCAACCAACCCACATTCCTGTTCCAATGACCTATCTCCCAACTGTGGCGATCAGCCAACCTATAGTCCGATTTAATCGTACACTCCCCGGAGGGATCCTCCCATTAGACCGGTCGGTCATGGTTTGGTACTCTTGGTTACGGGATCTCTTGAATAGCACGCACCATCATAGGATAGAATGTAGCACTCAGGCATTGCGCACACC